ATATTATACCAATGAAATCATTTTGCCTACATATACGTCATTATAAGGTAAATCAATAGAATAATATTAGACAGAAATTTAACAAATTAAATCCACAGATCGCTGTTTGTTGTTTTTGTTGGATAACGGGAAAACTATTATATCAACCATTAACCGCTTGCAGTTCGGCATTGATTAGGTTATTTTAACTAATGATTAACTATGTGGTATTTATAATAAGTATCAGTAATGAATTTGTTTTGTTGTACCCTATTAGAATTCTCATAATAATATAATTTTGCTATTTACTTTAAGTACGAAATTATAAAAATAATTTAACCTTACGATTGTGAAGACGTGATGCTGAATGGGATTCGCAACTAGGAGACTGTTCAATACAAAACTCATTTAGCTCTTACTACCAGAAGATCTGGTTTTTACTCACTCTTACACTCCTAATCATTTTAATTTACTATCTTCGTTTGTCCATAAAGATCACTTTAATTGAAGTGTCAAACACAAATTAATATACAACTAGTATCGCCATCACAGAGCTAGTGTGTTGTTTCAGTCCAGATAATCTTCCCAAGCCTGTGTGTAGATAGACATTAGACTAAGATGCGTCCTACTTAACTAATCAGATTATGCAATACCTCAGATTGATCCTTAACACAATGAATAGCTTTTATAATTTTCAGTATAACTTTATAAACTCATCTGATATCCATATATATATATATATCTTCTGATAATATATGTATACATAGAAAAATGTTAAAATGCCGAAAGAAATCTTTCATTTTCAGTTTTGATTTGTAATAAATAGAAAAGAGACCTAGTTGATATTTTTATATGTTTTTTTTAACGATTTGAGTAATACAAAGACAACATTATACAACATTACTGAAGCCATTTTGCTTTTGGTTTGTTTCCGACAGTAAAACTTTAAATGTCAAAGCTTGGCTTTTGCCCAATTTTTTGTTAGGCATGTCCCTGCAAAGCGTTCCGTTTTGTATTTTTTTCATAAAAAATGGCGTCACTAATGAATTCTTGAATTTTAAATACTGATTTATTTATTCCAGTCATTTTAAAATGCATATAAAAATTAACGTCCTTTTCACATGGTAGCAGTTTTTAATATTAATGGTATAATATGACCGAAATTTTTAATACCAATGGAAGGCACACACCATACAATGACCACGACAATATATTGCCAACCGTAGCCGCATGATACTTTTTTATAAAAGTAACTCAATTTACTTTCATATAATTTTAGTGCAAATTTATCATATAAAAAATTTATAAGAGCAATACTTATCGTTCGGTAAGAATTATTTTGAGTTGGCTAATGTAAATAAGACAAACTAATTTAGTAGAGCATTCACATAACAATAGCACCTTGTTCAAGGTAAGGACCCGTTAGGATGCAGCCACAGCAATTAGTCGTTGGCGTCAGATGGTAAATATTAACACTGGTAATTGTATCCTGAACGTCAGCTCCCTGGATGTTCGTTACAGTGCCCACTTGCAACCTGAATACAAATGAATCTATTAGCTGAAGGAGCGGGGATAGTGGATAGGATCGGCACCAATATCACGTCTCCACTGTCATGTGTGTTAGAATTCTATTATTTGTACAAACATCAAGCTTATATTGGGGATACGAGTAATTTTAATAGTCATTACACGTTGTTGAGTAAAAATATCATTGATTATATACCATATTTCCAATGAAATATGTTTTTAGATATTATATTATTTCTCTTCAAATATATTTATTTCGTAATTTAGTCCTCCTCAGTTGACGTAGTTGTTGTGAACGTGGGCATCCTACGGCTAACACGGTATTTCGATTTTCCATATAGTTTGATAGGGTAATTTTGTGACCTTCTTAAGTATAGACTACTATACATAACAGTCGAAAATAACATGGTTATAGGTCAAAGCTATGGATTATTAAGACATCTTATTAACGATATTACTAAATTACTAATTCTTCAAAATGTTTAATAAATAAAGGTATCATATGGTTAGTATAGTGGTGTCAACTTAGATATAGTCCTACACTATTCATATGTACATACATATGTATATTATATAATTATTTATGGAAGATACCTTGTTATAGATATAAAAATTCTTTTTTGTTTTCCACTTCATTACGCAAACGTTGGAATAATTGGGCCATTATATAATGCAATTTATCGTTTGTAAACGTTGATACCTATCAGATTCGACCCTTACATCAGGATGGGATAAAGTCACTCATTATTAAATATAATTCACAAGCTCTCAAACGCAGCCCTGTTGGCGCTGACTACAAAAAGTACCGATATACTTTATACCCTGCATGGCAAATCAACGTTGGAAAAGGGGAATATATTGTAAGGGCCGAAAATTGAATTGGGTGCTCGTAAATTTACACCATTCCCGACAATCTAAAATATCATAAAGATATTTTCATGTTTATTGTAAATTAAGAAATTTGGCCTTCAAGAGAGTTTACTGTGAAACGTCGGCTTTAAAAGAAATGCTTTTTTATAATTTGGTATTCATTAAATATTCAAAATAAATGTGTTTAATTCAATATATTTTTATATAACTGAAATTTTTTATACCAAAGCTAGTGCACAAAAGCGATTGCGCGGGAACCTATCAATAAATGAAATATTAGCAGGCGTAGGTTTTTAAATGTGAAAAATAACTTCAAAATTTTAAAGCGTGTATGTTTCCATACCTATTCCGGATATTGATCCACAATAGTCGAAAGACTAATTGACTCTGATATGATATAGTAGTAAAAATATCTCTTGCTGTAAAATTTATTGTTCAAAATTATGTATAAAATCTACAAATAATAATAATTTCTATGTAAGTTGTTCGGAAACAGCGAAATTATTTTGAAGATATTTTGTGCGAATATTATGTAATTGTACTAGAAGTACACATGGGTAAACATTTTTTTTTGTAACCCTGAGTTAGTCCACTTGTATAAGTTATCAATAAAAAACCATTTCGATCCAACATTATTTAAACGAATGACAATAACAACGAATGAATGCAAACAATTGTACTTTGAAGAGTGCATATTGTATGTATTTTATATCGTAAATATATTTTCATTCCATTGTATGTATCTGTATAATAATCATCTACTATCTCATTGTAGTGAAATGTTTCTGGATAAGAGTTTCTAATAATAACTTGACTAATTAAATCACCAAATATAATATATTTAAAAGTTTTTTGTTCATATAAAATAAAAGAGAAAGTATATTGCTCTAAAGAAAATTTATACCTTATTTTTTCATATCCTTCCTTAAGAAGTTTTTAATTTCCTTAGATTAAACGAAGCCTTAATTTAATATCCAGTGAAATCGTGTTGATTTTTAAATTATATAATTTACCTTAGGGAAATATTTGTCACTATCCGTTCTCAACTCAGACAATGGGTCGAGTATGGCTAGCTATTATTATAATATAATTTGTTTGTGGAAATTCACTGAACCTACATAATTCTAACATTTCCCTGACAGTGATCACAAGATTACTGCTGATATTCCGTATACTTTGTTGTTAAGGAGGCTCAACATTTAAACAATTGATACTATTATCAATAGTTTCAAATATTAAATTTCCCAAGTTATATTATTATTAATTTGTAGAAATGTTCAAGTCATTATTTCGTGTGATAAAGTTTCATTCTAAACACCTTTATAAACGGTTAAGTTTTTGAAATAGGTCGAGTGTTACTTTTTTAAAGCTAAATTAAATCTGACCTACTCGGAAAAGATGTTTTACTTGGCACGTTCATATATTTATTCCTGCAAAAAGCTTTCACTTTTAAATTTTGTAGCTGGCGTGAAAGAAGCTTTCAGCTTCTATATTTCTCTGCAAAATTTGACTAGTATTTTATTTTCTATAGTGCTAATGATAAAAGTTTTTAAAATGAAAAATTCAGTTTTAATGTAAGTTGATCTGTTATGAGAATAATACAGGTCGGGCTCTACGTTAATGATGCTTGAACTGGTAACTGTTGGCTGTAAATTTCTGTCTTTATAGTTGAAGTCTCTTTCTTTCCTCCTGTGTTTTTCTCTAAAATGCGAAACTTGCTGAATTCGCTTTAGAAAGTTTTATGTTAAATTAATGACTGTAACGTAAATTATATTTTGTATAAATAATAAGGAGAATCCCAAACAACTTATATTCGACGTATTTAAATGTTGTAAAAGAATGTACTGGTTTAAAACACAATCAAAACTACTTAATTCATGAATCCTGTAACCCTAATTAATTATTACTATATTTCGAGCGTAATTCGACGTACGAAATCATTATCTTGGTAGATATTTCCATTAACGGTCTTGTGTCATGATGTAATCCTGAGCGTCAATACTAAATGCGTACATTAGCTCATTTCCCACACTAAGCCTTTAAGTGTCAATTAGGATAAGTGTCTGAACACATACGTAGTTCGTCGTCATTCAAGTAATGTTTTATTCATGCTATAATAGACTGTTGCAGGTGTCTCTAATTATAATACAAGAATTTTAATTGTTGTATAATATTATTCTGTAGTTCAATTGAAATACAGTTTCTTTTTGTTATTAAAAAGTTATAATTACCATTTCTGATGGTTTCTTTGATGTTTCAGTAATTTATTTTATGACGTCATTGTTTGGTTTTATTGTGGCTCATAAATAATTATTTTAAGACATTATTTGAGTAAAATAATTTCAGTTTATTAGAAATTTAAGGAAAAAAAAACCAAAGAAATAATGTTGCAACAATTTTAATAAATTTTCTTATCTACATCCTAATAAATTTATAAACTTTTCATCACTATTTTATTCTCTATCTAATTTACCTTATGGGTAAATATTTCTACAAATCTAATCTACAGTTTCAATGCAGCTACCTATTTAAACATATAGCCTAACCATAAAATAATAGTGTCTATTGTCGTTAAATCACTAAAACAAATAAATCTTGGGTGACTAGTACTTTAAATATGAGTATTATATAATTTTGTCAAATGATACATTACGATTTTTTGTCATCCCCAACAAAATATTATCAGTAGATGCTGTCGTTGAATGCTGGATAATATCTTCTTTGCTTTGTATGGAGTGGTAGTCGTTCATTTCAGACCAAGCGGGGTCTGATTTTGCGATTCTTTTTCTTTCTTTAAATTTAGTGTATAATAAAACAGTTACCATTACGAAGAACACTATGAATCCTAGTGAACAGCCAACAATTAAGCCAGTGCGACGATTTAATATAGACGAAGTTTTGTAATCTTTGCTACTTTTTGTTTTAATTAACAGTGGTTTTTTTATCGTGTCAAAAGTAACACATTCACTTGCTGTAGACTGTGCAATCAAAGATGCCGCTATGTTACGATTCATTTTTGTAGTAGTGTTACTTTCAAAATCCGTAGCGTTGATCCCTATGAAATCTTCATTTAACAAATTGATGACAGAATTATCATACATCGTTAACAAACACGCCATGTAATTCATATTCGGCTCCAAATCAGTTATAAGCGTAGACGTTGAATTTAGATCTACGTGTTTTAATTTCACCTGGAACAAAAGTAAATTAATAAAAATCATATTCTGGAACACCAAAGAAAAGTTTAAACATTTTCTTACGTCAGAAAAGGTGACTTCGTTGTAATATAACACATGTAATGCTTTTACAGAAGTACGATTTCTGATAAGCCATGTTACTAAAACTGAATTATCATCCTGTTTGTCTGCCGATAACTGGACAATAAAAGGTAGATCACATTTTTCTTTGGGATAATCGTCATTAAAACAAGTAACAGTATACTGTTTTATTATTTTCGGATGATCCTGAATCCACGTCCATGTGTTATTCTTTTGGCAACGACAGATTATAACGTTATCTAAAAATTAAATCAATGTTATTAACTTCTAGAGGCATTACAATATAATCAAATTTTTGTATATATAGTTCACAAAAATTATATATACCTTGTATGGAGATGTCTTGTATATGATTTTCTATTGATGTGAGTAACTCCAAAGGTATTGTTTGAAGTTTATTATGTTCTAGATCTATTTTTACAATCTTATTAAGATTATTGAAAGATGTAGCTGATAGATATTTAATATTATTATAGGCCAGATAAAGAACAGTTAATTCTTTTAAATGTATTAAATGTTCGTTTAAAATGTTTTGTAGTTTATTATGGGAGAGATCTAAAAGCTTTAAATTACTTAAATCCTCGTCAAAAGATTCCATTGACTCAATATTATTATAAGATAAACATAAAGTATTCAATTTAACAAGTCCGCGAAAGTTGCTTGTTTTAAGTTGAGTTATTCTATTAAAACTCAAGTCTAAGTTTTCCAAAAATATTAATGTGGAAAACGGGCTGATGGAGAAACGACGAATTTTATTAAATTTTAAATAAAGATGACGTAAATTGATAAACAAATTCAAAGTCGTGTCCTCAATAATAGTCATATTTGTAAAACAAATATGTAATTCATACAGGCTTGATATTAGCGTGTTATTGTCTGAGTTCTTCGGTTTCCAAGAATGTGTCGGATTTTTACTAATATCTAAATAATAAAAGAAACACCTAATCTTTTGTGTGTTGTCAAGAAATCGAAATGTGCCATATTATTATAAGAAATATTGATATTTTGTATGTTTGGAAAGGAATCAAATATTATTTCGGGTAAATAATCTAATCTATTAAAGCTAATGTCGAAAAATATTACATCATTTAATATCACTTTGTTTGTGCACGTTACAGAATTTATTTCATTTTTACGAAATATTAATGATTTCAGTTTCTTAATATTTTTCAGACCACTTAATTCAATCTTTTGTATTAAGTTGTCTGCAAAGTCTAAGGTTTCTATTTGCGTGAGATTTTCAAATATACTGTATGGCACGTAGTCTAAAAAATTATTGCTAACATTAAATACAGTTAAAGAATTAAACATATTAAATAGTTTTTCAGGGATTGTACTTATAATATTTTGGGCTATGTTAAGCTTTACTAAATTTTTATTGTTGACAAAGCTATCTTCTACAAGTTTTTCGATGTTGCAATGCTCTAAATTAATAGACTCTAAAAGAGGAAGATTTAAAAACGCCTCTACTGGCAAATAGTCCAGAATGTTAAACGATATAGATAGAAATTTCAAGCCTGGAATATCGAGACATAGTAAATCACTCGCCTTCAAAGAGTTGTTTCGAATCGAGAGAGACTTCAAGTTATTTAAACCTTGAAATGTGCCATTCTCAATAACTTCTATATCGCAATTATCTAAAAAAAGTGAACTTAATGGCAATCCTTGCTGAAATAGATTTCTATGAAGTATTTTGAGGGGATTGTGTGACAGATTAATACTTCTTAACTTTTTCAAAGTATCAAAAGCCATATCATAAATATATACTATTTTGTTGTATGACAAATCTAAATCTTCTAATTCACTTAGGCCGAAGAATGTATAGCTAGTAATATTTCTAATTACATTAAAATGTAAATCAAGATAGCGAGCTGCGTTAAGTCTTTGAAAAGAAAAATCATTGATAAATAGTATCTCATTAAAACTAAGTTCTAATTGTGTTAAATAAGTTAGATTGTTATAAGTATTTTTCTCTATAAATTTTAAACGGTTGTATTTTAAATTCAATTGATTTAATTTTTTCTGTGGCCCCAATATTAAACTATTTAATGTAGATAACTGATTGCTTTCTAAGGATAGAATAAGTAATTTCGAATTGCTCAAAGGAAGAATGTTGTTTATTTCAATGAGGTTGTTGTGGTGCAAGAAAATATATTTCAGGCGTGACATCTTTTGAAAAGTGCCCGGTTCTATGACTGTTATTCTATTATTATTTAAATATATTTCTTCGAGATGAATGGAATTAATAAATAATGATTTGAAAATAATTTTGAGCCAATTATTATTAAGTCTTATCTCCTTAAGATGATTCAGATTAAAGAATGTTTTATTATTTATATCACTAAAGTTATTATTGTCTAAATGTAATTTCGTTAAATTCTTATTATTAGTCAAAATATTATGTGGCACTTGATTTAAATAGTTAAAATCTAATTGCAGTTCTTCTAAATTTTCTAAATTACTAAAGCTCTCACTATTTATATTATGTATGCAATTTTGGTTTAAGTGTATTATAGTTATTTTACTACAGTTAAAAAAGGAATCTATTGGCACTTCAAGTATATTATTATGGCTTAAAAATACTTTATTTAAAGACGGCATATTGCAAAATAGGCCGTGGATATGGTGCAAATGGTTGTGATTTAAATCTATGGACTCTAAATTCTTATTAGTTTGAAATAAATTCGTGTGTAGTATTTTTATTCTATTGTGACTCAAATCTAAAGACGTTAAATTAACTAAGGAGTAGAATGCTCGGTAATGTATGTTAGTTATGAAATTAAAATGAAATGACAAAACTTTTAGGGACGGACTAAATTTAAGGCAGTCTTCGGAAATAAATTCAAAATTATTGGAATTCAAATCTAAATATTCTAGCGATAATATATTATAGTTATCTACGGTTGCAATGGAAAAGATTTCATTCCAAGCTAATTTAAGTGTCAGTAGATACTTTAAATGAGCTATTGAAGTCAATGGGAAAGTAGTGAGACTATTTTCGCTAAGGTCGATCTCTGATAGCGATGATTCCAAACTTTTGAATGCCGTATCGGATATATGTCGCACCATATTCCCTTTCATGTTCAACTTTACTAATGGAAGTCCAAAAAAACTATAGCTCGGGATTTCTTCAACATGGTTGGAAATTAATTCAAATGAAATTAGCTTGAGCATACCGGATAGTGCTTTTTGCGGTATAAACTTAATTTTGCTTGATAAAATGCTTAAGCTTTCAAGGCACTTTCTCAATGGCATAAACGTTTCATCGTCAATGTATCTTATGTTAGTTCGAGATATATGTATGTGTTTGATACAAGAGCCTTGAGGTATAAAATGTGGTCCCAATTCTTCCTCACTGCCGTCGAGATCGTATATAGAAAACGCGTGCACATTACTAACTCTTTTGAGGGCATTTTTTATATCTTTTAATATCGTGTCTTGGCAATCGAGATATACAGCTGGAATTAAAAACAGTAATATTAAAATAATACATAATATTACATACAATATATGAATATGAAATGAATTGCTTACCATCTTCAAAAGTGTAGCACGTGCATTTACTGTTCTGCATCAACTGGGAGCACTCCAAGGTATTTTCAGTTCGGCAAGTTTGGAATATAAATAGAAGGAGTGATAATATTTTAGCAATACCATTGTCATTTCTTTGTATCGCAGAATAAAAGTCCCTTATCATAATTACATCCTTATTTGTTTTTTAAACGTCACTTTATATTGCCATTGTTTAACCTGAAAAAAAAGTACCCCTAAAGTAATTCTATCCGCCTTGCCAATATAAAACATCACAACTTCCGAGCTTAAGTAAGGAGAGGTTTTTCTTATTCAATAAATGGAACAAAAGCAGAATATAGATATATTTTAATACTAAAGAAAATTAAATAATATAAAACTTTTAATTGTTATTAACATATAAATGTTTTATTAAGAGCACTAAGTATATTTTGTACTACGTCATATTTTATTATTCCAATAAAATACAGCCGAGTTTATAAGCGAGCGTCCATAAAAGTAATCAATACATTTAATATTAATATTAGTAATAATAATTAAACTTACCTACGTGTTCGCTGTTTGCTTCGTTGTACTCGCTGTTAATTACTAACAGAGTTATCCTTTAGTGGTTAGAGTTCATTTTTGTGACGCAACATCCCGAAGGAGCGATGTGCGCCTGTCCTTGAATTTTTAAGGTTCACCACACGAGTATCGAGCTGTTCCAGCCGCGTACAAGTTTTTTATTTTTATCAAGGTATTTTTATCGCGCAACACAGAACGCTTGAGGTCATTAGAAAGCTCGACTGAAGACTGCCGCGGCGGCGCGCGCTGTATAGGTCACCGCCGTTGTTGCGGCACCCCCGACCCACTATTATTATACTTTTATGACAAATCGGAGTTCGGACAGATATTTTTTTTAACAGTGCTCTCATCCTCTCAACATTGATTTACGATATGTTGGATAGAATTTCAAACAATTGCTATATTCAGCTATAAAAATAATTCTTGTTATTTTCCTGGACAAAATACTTAGCTAGAAAATACATTTTATTACAAAGTTTCTTTATACATGGGTATGATTGAAAAACACAATAATTTCTTTGTTTTCAAACAAGGTCACTAAAGCCACTTTAACATTTCTCGTGCCAACAAAAGTGTAGACGAAAACTGGAACGCAATCCCAGTAGTTTTTTACTAAAATTTATGTTGAATTTGACTGTTAGAGGCGTTCTTATACTTAATAATTTACTAGATTTTTTCGAGTTGATCATTTCAAACGGGGATCAATAGGAAGGCAACCGTCCCATAAATGTATTACATACAGTAATTTAAAGCAAAAATTTAAATTATTTTGAACAATTAATAACTGAAATATTAATTGAAAATGATAATTTTATTTGTTTATTTGTTATATTAAATATAATAATGTTGAAAGAAACTTAAAGGATATTATTCTGATTGTATTTCTTATTAATTGTATTTATTATTAATTCTAATGAATTATTATATATAATTATTATTTTGAAAAATTATTGTATCTCATAACCTAATAAGAGCTTTTCAACATCACTTTGCGTATTTTAAGGTAACACGCAGAACTATGTACTGAACAGTAAATATATTTTTGTCTCACAAAGGCTGATGTTAGAAAAATGTATTAATCTATCTAAAAAAAATCTCGCTTACCATAAGTTCAGTTATTCAAGTAACTTTTTCTGTAATAATTAAATCATATTTTGTAAGGGTACATATTATATTATTTCATTGAACATATTATATTATTTAAGGAAATATAATTTTGTCTATGTACATAAAGATCAAAATGTTTTGGCTGCACTGGAGTATGGTTCCTTGTAACGGAAAGCAGATAGCTTTATACAGAATCCGTGTTTTCACAGTTTAGGTCTGACGCTGCACTCGAGCAAGCAGTAAATCCGACCAGGCGTTTTATCCACAGCTTTTAGACTACAAGTAGGTCACAGAAGCGCTGGCTATTCATTATCACCTGATAGGTCATATAGTAGCATACTTTTAATCTGAAATAAAAAAAGGTCCCCTCAGTGCTATCTTTTAGTAGTTTCTAAAAATATATATCAAATAAATATCTGGTGGAAGACAATTTTCTTTTTATTTCAGAAATATATGTATATGTTTATAATGTTGGCCATTTATGTACATGAAATTTTGTAGTTTTAAATATATTACCAGTAAATAGCGGCAACATAAGTTGTCCGTCAGAAACACAAGACTTTCTATCTGTGGGATTTGAAAATAAATCAGGAACCATTGGTTCTGTTAATTTATATTAACCACTGATAAGAAGAATCATTAATGGTTTGTTTACACAAATAACGGAATTGCTTTACTTTAAAGTACTTGCCTCCGATAGGCTTTGAAACAGAGTTTTGGATTATTACGAAAAGATGACTAGAATTTCAATTTGTTATGGAGAAAAGTTCTAAATGTAGGCACTGTCACGGCCACGGCATTAGATAGATACTACGTGGCACACATTTTCCAGGAGGATTTGGATATTAAGTAGGGTTTTATTTGTTATGACACGCGCTAAAGGCCTCCCGTTTCAGGCATTGTCTATTTAAGCTGGAATACATTTTCAGATAATCCTTTTTGATTCGTCATCAAACTCCGGGCCTTTTAGATTTGAAACGATTTTATGCTATACGTGAGCATGCATTTCGTTAAAAGTTTGCATTCAAATACCTTTATGCAACCGTTAGTTAGATATAAGTGAAAATACCTTGTAACTAGACAGACATATTTTTTGAATTGTTCGTATACGTAAAAATATCTCAATTTATTTTTAAAATGCTTTCCATACTTTACATATAATAAAATGGCGTAAAAAATTTATTATAAACGAATATTTATTTACTTGTTCTTATCTCTTCGTATGCTTAGAAAAAACCTCTAAAATTCATTATCATATCATTTTGCCACAATCAATATTTTATTATCATCAACTTTATTGCTTTAATGTCTCCCCGTCAAAGTAAATATGTAAGTAATAATGGTGATGAGTATAAATAATTATCAATATTTTACTTCATATCTAAAGATAAATATAATTAGGTGTATTCTATACAGATTAATCGTACCAAAAGCGGACCCAATAAGAGACAAGAACAACAACAATCTAGTTAGCTAAAGATTAGTGAAGGGGAGTGTGAACCATAAATCGTTTGAAAAATGAAGCTTGTAATTTTTATGCTCACTTTATAAAAGTGAAACATTTCGGCTCAGGATTATAAAAATAAAATAAATAAATTTTGTTTTCGTTATCTGATATTTATAATCATTAAAATGAAAATTGATAACCTCAAGAACGTTGGTTAAATAATATTTAATCACAAAACCATTCGATTTTAATTTTATGAAGATATCATTTTATTTTAAACATAAATTGGAATGGTTCAAGAAGAAAAATATGTATATTTATTTTCTATTATACTTACTTTATAAATAAATAAATAAATGTAAACAGAACTACCTAAACATATTGATAGATAAACCACCGCCATGCCATATTATATTATTTTATATTAATTTATTTATTTATTTTGTAGAATACCAACAAGAATACACACCAGGAACATTTTAGACACATGGATATAAAAAAATTATACAGGTGGCATCTTAATTAAAGGTGAAAACAGCATGCGTATGTAAGAAAATAACAATTCATAATAATTAGGCGACAACAAGCAGAAAAGAAATTAAAAAATAACTTATTAACTAACAAACATAACTAATTAACTAACAAACAATAAATTATATGTCATAACAATCACCACAAAGCTGTATCAAACTGAATTTAGTCCTTTTTTCGGGAGAGCCACGTAAACAAAATTTTTATCTGCAGGTATTCAAGTCTGTCATTCAATAAAAAATAATAAACATGATTTATTTCTGAAATTCTCAGAACAATATTAAAATACATGTTGGTATAGGTCGTCAAAGAATTATTATCTAACGTTTGATGGTGTGAGCTTAGAAAGCGTGTGTGTATGTATAGTAATCATAAAGATTACATATATAAGGTCTTATTTTCACCAAGATTTTTAAATACAATACGAATACACGCTTTACGCAAAATAATGTACATTTATTTCTGAATTGTGAACATGATTGCATTCGATTGTGATAATTACAAAAATATGTACCTACTCACTTCGGTTTTTCGCGAAACCAATCACTTGATTGCTTTCGGCCAGCGAAATCCATTTAATTTTATTCGTTTTTTTATATGTGTTCCTATGTAACGCAAACGAAGCAAATGATTTTTGCTTTCATTAATGATAAAATTTTCATTTTTAATGCACGGAAATCGAGAAATATGGAATCGGTACAATAATTCAATAGTGTCAGGAAAAAATTTAAAAACTAGTAACAATATACCAACTCAAACTTTTTAAACTTATAATAAATTTTCAATTTAGTTGAATTTTAAATTTGTAATTCTGAGAACCTAAAAATATATAGTATTGATCGCAAACTAAGAATTGTGGCGTGTTCGAGTTCAATTCAGGTTAAGTAGTTGTAAAAGCTTAAAGACAGAAAGTATTATTTAACGTTTCAAATTACGTTCTTAGTTTAACGTTTAGTGGTTCTAAGCTTTATCCGTATTCAGTATCTTTGATATTTTTACTATTTTAAGTTTTTTTTTTATTGTTATTGTTTAAAACGCGCAGTCTGACCCAATGAGCGGTTATTGTTTAAATGAAATTATACTTTTACAAACTTCATTGTTCTCAAATTTCAATTATCTGTAATTAATATATTAAATAAAAAAAATACCCGGAGTCAGGCAAGAGAAACATTTTAAAATCTGTTAATAAACGTGATTGTAAAGTGGTTGAAAATTTGTTCTTGTGCAATACAATCGCAAACCGCGTACGCGCCAAGCTGTTAAATGAGTTAACTTTAACCATTTATACTTACATTATTACTATTAACAACGTCGCTAGAATATGTATCCATTAAAAGTGTAATGACTTGCCGAACAACTTGCCTCAAACTTATGCAACTTACGTCATTAATGTTGAATAATATTTAACATTTTTAGTTCAACTTACAGAAAACTTTATGCATTTCTTAAGAACTTTCAATTTTGTTCGAGCTGTTTCCTTAAGTATTCATTATTTAGTCATTAAGTTGCATAAAGTA